AAACAGGCCTCTGGAAACCAGCAGCGTTACCGGCCTCTTGCCGCTCAAATCCGCAGCAGTTCTCCCTAAAATCTGACCCTGGTTTCTCTACACTGCACTTGAAAGTGCTCCCCCAGACCCGACGCCCTCAGCCAAGAACAGCGAAGTCTTCCACGGGCTGCGCCCGACCTTGTAACGAGGCATTTCATCAAATTCTTCCACGTTCCCAAGACAGGGAATTACCTCTCTCAATTATCAGGGAGGAACCTAAACGTGTGAATATTTGCCCTGCGTTCTGCCACCCTCCGACCAAAGCTCCTCTCGTTGACGCCTCCAAGGTCGCCGGTCGCAAGCCCAGAGCGAGGTTTTCACCGAACGCCTCCGGAGCCAGGAGATCCCCGCGGGCAGGGGAAAGCTGCCCGCAGTTACAGCCAAGGCACCGTCCACGTACGGCAGCATCCCGCGTACGGCCCCGAAACAATCGTCACCTTTGTCTCTCCGGCGTGCACGCGTTCACACCGCTTTCCTCACTCGATTCCCTGCCTGCCGCTGCGCCGAAGCCACAAGACAAAAGCCCCAGGCATCCGTGACAGCTGCCTGCAAAGCTGCCCACCCCTCGCTGCAGGGGACAGGGGCAGCGGCGCTTGAATTCGGCTCCCCTCCTGGCCAGATGCCTCAGCGCCTCAGCAGCTCGTCCCAGACGCAATTTATGAGACGCAAGAGGGATGCTGGAAGGACCCAACGCTGCAAATCAGCGCTAACATCCCCCCACGCCACGGCCAGGGAGACGCTGAACATGCCGTGACAAAGAGAGCGGTGCCAAAAAGGGAAAAAGAGCAGCAGCTCCCAGGGACCAGCATTGCATCACAGCCTTTCCGAAAGGTTGTGCTCAGACAGAAAGAAAAAAAATAAACCGCTTTCCAGTTCACCTCTCTCCACCCGCCTGTGATGAAAACCAAGCAATAAACATCGCCACTGGATGAACTCCAGAGCCAAGTAACCCAACCACCCGCTCGACACCTGGGATGAGGCTGTTACCCAATGCCCCTGTTTATTTCCCAGGCTCGTTTTATCGGTTTCACAACACAAAGCTATGTGCACAGGTTGAAACGCTGACCCCAAGCCTTTCGCCCTCCTTTCACTATTATTTTCAGACCAAGAATAAAACAAACAAAAAGGAAAAACCACCCCACGCATACCCCTGGAGTCCTCTAACTGAACCGTAATTTAGTATTACGCCACTCCCAAGCGGGGACCCGCTCCTCCCAAGTGCTAAACACACAGACCGTACAGAGTACCGCTCCCTCGGGTGGGTACCAGAGGGCAAGAGCCCCCCCAGGGGCTCCCTTTCCCCCCTCCCACCACAGCAGAAAGAAGGTCCTGCCTACCTCTTTGGTCAGGTCTCCATTCACCGGGGCAGCCACCGCTCCCAAATCTTCCAGTTCTTCCCCAAAGCCCTGCTCAGCTCCGCTCTCCCTCACCCCGTTGTCGGGACTGCTCCCATCCTGCAGACCGCTGCCGTTCTCTAGGGCGATGCCGGCGCTGGGCTGGCTACCGGACACGGAGCCTTCGGGGTCTCTGTGCACCAACCAGGCGTTGACTTCGGTGGTGGGCACCTGAAACCTGTCCAGGGCCCTCACCTGGTTGAGCAGCCTGCGAGCGGTGAAGTAATAGTCCAGGTCTACGCTTTTTGGGTGGATGCCATAACCATCCAAGGTGTTACGCAGGTTATGAAACTGGGTCTGGGTGTAAGCGGAGCTCTGGCCAAGGATGATCTCCCGCAGGGGGGGAAGCTGCGAGTTCAGGTAGGTGTCCACGTCCACGCGTACGCCGATCAAGCTGAGCAGAATGGTGAACTGGATGAGGCCTTCGGTGAAGTATTTCTTCAGAGAAAGCATTTCTGGCAGAGGAGAAGAAAAAACAGGTGGAGGGTTTGGGAATTACAAAAAGAAAAAAACCAACACAAACACCCCACAGCATCAGATGAATTCTCCACACAACAGGTTGGTTGGGTTTGTCTTTCCTCTGCCCCACTTTCACACAAACAAAATAAAGCAACAACTTTGGCGTTCAGGTTATCACTGAACAACTGGATAAAAGTTTAAAGAACATTTGAGACTTTGGGCTCAGGACGACTTTGTTTTCCTTTTAAAACTCTGGAACTCGGTGGTCAGCCGGCAGAGTGAAATTAAAGATTTAAATCTCAAAAAGCAACAAACTCCCCCCAGAAGACAGCCTCCACCCTCTCGTACCCTTTCCTTTTCTTCAGAACCGTTCTATAACACGGACCGTACAGCCACAGAGTAAAAATCCACGCGACTTACTGTCCAAAAACTCCACATACAGCTGCTGCTTCTCGCCCCCCCCCAGTTCCCCACACTCCAGGACGGGGTCTGCTCCCTCCGACCCCTGCCTCTTCCTTCCCCTCTTCTGATCCACGGAGCTTCCTGACGGAGCCTTCTACGAGTCAAAGGTCCCGACCGCGGGAAGGTCCAAAGACTCCTCCGCTTCTGGCTGCAATTTCATCAGCGGCTGAAACACAACCGGAGAGCGAAGGCGATAACGCCCCGCCGAGGCACCGCCCCAAACACCGCACACGGACCTCCTCCACCGGGAAACGGCCGCTCCCCCACGCGCGGGCCCTTGAAAATCCGAGCGCTCCTGACACAAGTCGGGCACAAGAAACACGCGTGGCGGAGGTTACCCTTGGGGACAATACCGTCCACGCTTCCCCTCCCCGAGCTATTCTTAGGCCGGTGCGTCAACTTCCCCCCTCCCTGAGGGAACCCGGCTCCCTTTCACTCCTCACCTCGC